AACAGGCAGACAAAATTTAAAGCTGATCAGTATTAACTGGAAAATTGAGAAATGTTTCAGAACTGCATTGACTGGCTGCCAGCAAAAGGGGTTGCCTGAGGGGCTTCATCACCCGCCCCTGGATGGTGAAATGAGAGGTCCTCTGGAAGGTGTGTTTGTCAGCTCCAAGGTGCCAGGTACAGTACCGGCTAAGACACTCTGCCTTTGTCAAGCGAGATGACAAGTGGAGAAAGAAACTAAAACAGGCTGCTCTTACTGGAACAGTTTCAGGAAATAAGAAGACAGGTTTGTAGGAGGAGGCGATATCTTTTCTTGGACCATCTAATATAGCTGGAACAAACAAAGAGGCTTTTGGGCACAGAGATCTTTCTTCTGCAGACCTGATGCAGCCACCTTGAGATAATTCAAGACAAGAAAAGCCCCAGTGCAGACATGGCAAGCCACAGAAGTGCCTCAGTGCTATAGGGGAACCCTGCATTGCAAGGAAATGCAGCTTCTGCTTGTTAGTCCTGGCTTTGCCTTCATCTACCCTCTAATGACAACTCTCAAAGGAGGCTCTGGAGTCAGCTACACCCAAGGACCACTGATGTGAAAAAGACTCCTTCAAGCCTGCAGCTTTGAGGAAGCTGCTAAAATGCACCTGGTTGCAGAAAGCACCTAGAGACCAACAGACACTTACAGCATTCCCCACAAGTTTCATCACTTACAAAACAGCTCAAAGACAAATGAAATAATGCATTTGAATCTAGCTGTTTAAATTCACTAATACATATTTAAAACACAGTGAGGTAAAGACTCAGATTTAAAAATAACAGGCTAAACTAGTCCAAAACCTTTCAGTATAATGTTCATAGGCTCATAGAATAATTAAGGCTGGAAGAGACCTTGGGAGATCTTTAGTCTAAGCCCCTGCTCAGAGCAGGGTCAGTGCTGGGGTCTCACCAGTTGCTCAGTAGAGTCGGGGGAGGCTGCACCTCTCCAAGGCTGGGGTGGAGATGCAGAGCACAACAGTCGCTAAGGACTTCATCCTACCCTGAAAGCAAACCAACCAAGCCACCCAATCAGGGCCTGTCACACAGCTGCCCATGGGGGATGCTGGCCGAAATGGAGCCATCACTGCAGACCCAGACGTGGCATCACCATGAGTGCTATTATAAATGCATGGACTGACAAGGATGAGGCAGGTTTGTCTGTGCTGTCAAGTGGCCACCAAGGTCTAATTTCATCAACGAATGGCCAAAAAAAAGGCCCAGCTACATGAGGTGCAGACCAAAACTCCACTCAGGTAGGGCTGATGATAGGAAGGAGTCCAGAAAGAGCTGTTGTTGGTGAGCACATCAGTGACGGATGTGCTGGGCATGGTGCAGGCAGCTCACAATCTTCCCTGCTCAGCCACCGCGTCTACAACCCCAGTGACTGCTTAAGGAGACATCTTGGAGCTGGAGGACACCAAGCTGGTGAGGGCAGGAAGAACATTTTTGAACAGCCAACATTGCCAAGGAAGGGCCACATGGTGTCTTGCACCGAAGAGCTCCCCACAGCCATATTCCCTGACTCTCTCTCAATGCCACATGCAGGACAGATGGGCAGGCAGATCAACAAGGGGTGCAAAGTTTTAATGCACGTCTCAGAAAATGCGGTGCAAAAAGAAATGAATTAAGGAGCTTCAGAAACTTGTGTACTGGGATGCCTATAAAAAAAAATGAACTGCATGTCAGTATTTACATACATGACATTACCCTCAGCAACTAGCTACATACTTGACAATACAACCTGTCTGCAGGCATATAAAATTACCTAAAAATAAAATCAGGTTGGAATTTTAACCCAAAGCATAGATGTAAATTGAAAGCTGTTAATAAGCATCCAATCTGGGACAATGCATCTAATAGGAGTTACAAAAACTGCATCCTCAGACAAGGAATAGGTTGGAGGCAAGAAGACCATCTGGAAAGTAATACTAGATAAATACCTTGTTCCTACACCCTTTCCCAGGCTTCTTGCTAGTGTTGGAGATGGAGTACTAGGTTAGTTTCTCATGGATTCAAGGGGTCAAAGCCTGAGTCGGTCCCTGCATTGCTGAAACGGCAAAGTGCAGAGGATCCCTACTCAAACACAGGGCAGAAAAACCAAAACTGAAGTTTTGGTTACCTGAGATAGGAGCTAGGGGAAGCTTAGCTTTCAATGAGAAGGTTGGTGGAAGGAAGGTAATTAGTGGAGAAAGGTGTTCGGTGCAAGAAGGCAAAGCAGTTCCAGTGCTGGAAGTCTGGTGCTGTATGGTGAAGGCAGCTCCCTTGGACACTCCGCAGCTTTTCTTTACTCCTTTTGGGGAGGAACCCATTGGGAATGGCCTGGGAAGGGGAGGGAGGCAGGACAGAGCTGTGGAGCTGCTGGGACATGATGACCACACAGCCATGTGAGCAGAGAAACACTGGCAGAGCAAGTGTTAGATCTCACTTCAACCACTAGTAATTACCTACAATTACTCCCTGCATGCAGTCTCCCTGCCTCCACTTTCAGTGGAAGAAAGTCTGTGACTGTGTGTACTTGCACTCCCACACTTTTATTATCTGCGCAGACTTTCCAAAAATAGTGTTCCAGACAGTGCTAAAGCCTGCTCCCAGCTCCCCAGGCAGAACTGCATGAATTTTGGAGTCAAACCCTGGCCCTTCAATTCAGATAGTGTGTCAGGGTCTCAAAGGCACTAACAGGTGTTAACTGCCCTGCACCTGCCACCCATGCACCTTCTGCTTGTGGCTCAGGACCTTCTTTAAGCTCAGACCTGGATCTCACATCCCTGTCTGAGCTGCCTTAGATGTGTCCCTGTGTCCTGCCCTGTCTGCTGCATAGACCTTGGACCTGCCTTGTATCCTTGTCTCCTGTCCCATCTCCTGACCCACACTGGGCTTCCTGGAGGGACCCCGGTCCTGGCTCACCCTCTCGCTGTGTCTGGGGCTGTTGATGGACCCTGTCCCCTCTCTGGCTCTACTGGCCATGCTGAGATCCCATGGGACTGTTGGGGAGGGCATGGCCAGTGCTGGAGACCCCCCCAGCTCCTGGCTCATCCCCTCCTTGTGCTGCTGAGTCAGTGGGTGCATGTCTTGAGCTCCCCAGCAATGTTTTGCTTCACACAGGATTATCTTCTGCAAGTGACAGTGATTTAATCAATGGTATCTCGCCCCAGAAAATAGTTGATCCTGCCTGGACTTCCCATTCCCGCTGTATCTTTCTTTCCCTGGCTGAAGGAGTAGTTTGGGTTTGCCCTACCCTCAGTAAAATGCAGCCTACTAACCTGGGCTAAATCTCTGCCCTGCTACAGTTTCCCAACAGCACTGGTGAGAGAAAAATGTAAAGAAAATAGTTCCATAGGATGATCATAGGAAAGGGCATAAGATAGGTCTGCAGGGTCTGGCTAGGGAAGAGACAGGATGCGAGTGCTGGCTATGGACCCATGATCACACATGGCAGAAGATGTGGAAGTGGTTCACGTTGTTTCACATTAAAGAAGGATTAATGTTTTTACTTCTGATAGGAAAAAAAAAACCCAACAACTTTGACAAGAACCAGTTTACTTAGAAAATAGTTGTCATTTGTTTGTGTAGCAGAGTAAAATGGCTGTGCACAAAACAACTGCAAGTAATGGAAAGTATAGGAGTCATGTGGCACCAAGTCAGAATGGCATAAAGTCACTTTCTTCTAACACCAAACAAAGATCTTCAGGAGCCCCAGGACCTCTTTGTTGGCTGCTCCTCTGCTTTTTTCAGCTAGGCTACAAATTCTGGTGCACTCTTGTCCTGCCAAGAGCATTTGGACACACCATTGCAGTATGGTGCACCTTACATTGATACGGCAGGCATCCTCAGCTGACTTTGGCCAACTTTGTAGCACCTCACTGTCCAAACTGCCTTTGCAAATAATAGAAAAAATGGAGAGTCCCTGTGTGTGGCACATCTCCCTCCTGCAGACATCCCGGCCTGCAATGAGCTGCAGTTAGATGGGGATACCTCTGCCCTCTGAGAGCAAGCTTAGTCTAGTTCATTGGCTCTGATGGACACGTATTTTCATGACAGTCAGGTGTGACTTAGAGGGGAGGAAGGATTTCAGGAGCTGCAGGTTTCCCATAGGAGAAAAATACCATTTAAACACCAACCTGCAACAACTGATCAGCTACTCTGCAGTGGTTGAGATACCCATGGGGTGGCTCTAATTGCTAAAGGAGCAAATCAACTCCCGCTCTACTTTCACCATCCAGCCCATTACAGCTCCACAAAAGGTGTTATGAAATTACTGCTGGAAACAGAAAAGCCAGCATGTTAGTGACTAACTCATTTAACAATCTTCCCTCTCAATGAGTAGTTGGCATCCCAGCAAGCAGAAAAAAAAAAAAAAATTGAAGAAGAAAAATGTACACATGTGAAGTAAAAAGTAAACTCTTCTTTCCAGCTTTATACGTGAAGGCAGCAGTAGAGGACTCTGCCCACTTGCACTGCTGCCAGGCAAGTCCAAGCTGTTTGAGTCAGGTCCTGGGTCTAATCAACAAAGTGGTGGGGCATAGTCAGTCACAGCATTTGTGCACATGGTGGTCATTAACTAAATCTGGTGACTGGTTAAATGAACATGTTTAGGTTAGAGGAATACCGCAATCACCTGATGCACATTCTAAGCAATTGCAGCAAGAACAGCAGAGCCCTGGAGTTGCAATGACCCGTAACCTCATTCCTAATGAGGAGACTAGAGCTGCTTTGGAGTTGAAATACACAACAGCATATCAGTGAGAGTTTCTGTTCCTCGCTCTTAGAAGACCAGTGATGAAGAAAAGCAATTTGTCCCTTAGTTCAAATTCAGCTTAAACTGTAACCCTAGAGGCACAGGGTTGTCAGATGTCCCCGCTTCACATCTGTACGCTTCCTTTATACTCATCCCAGCATGAACACTGAAATGGTTCATAGCAAAGACTGGGGCAGTGTATTAGTTGAAACATGGGTGACCAGGAATGCTGCTGAAAAGAGCTATTATTCTGCTCCCTGCCACCCTGGGATCAAAGCTTTTGCCCAGCAGCTGTGTGTTACAGAACTGCATGTTACACACCTTTGACGACCAGCCACCTTTAAGCCTCTCAGACGAACCATCCATTCTTGTTCTGCCGTGGCTCTGGCGTAATAAAGAGCATATTTTCTTGGTTAAGAGCATAAGAAGAGTGGAAATTCACATTAAAGACCCAGCTCTCCCGGAAAACCGCTCCCTGAAGCAGGCGGTGGAAGAACCATGGTGCAAGGCCCATGGTGGTGACAGCAGTACTTGTGGCCCTGTCAGGGGCTGCACACTCACCCAAAGGAGCTGTCACATCAGTCCCAGGACACACCAGCATGTGGCTGTGACCTTGCGGGAGTATGTCATGGCCCCTCACATGGCAAGCACAGCCTCTCTGCATGCCAGCATTGCAGCTCTCATCACCTCCTTGCACGTGTCCAGTGAAAGTGCTTTCCCAGGTGAAGAAAGGGACTTTGTGGGAAACATTTTCACTCTTTCCATCATTTGGAGGACACTGGCGATCAGGTAGCCCTCAACCTGCAGCCCACCATTTCTCCCAGAGTGCTCACCTCTCTGCATCCATCCACTCATCACTCTTCTCTTCTGGGCACCCTCTCACCCTCTCCATACTCCCAGCTCCCAGGTCATGACTTGAAACAAGCTATACTAAAAACCACTGATGCACAGCAACCAGGTTTTGGTGCCCCTGGGCATCCTTACACAGTGGGTCGGTCACCTCTGCTTTCTTGGGGGCCTGTTTTATGATCAAACTGGGCTGACTGGTGATCAGCTCACAGTGAACGGTTTGTTGTGCCTGATAAAATGCTGCATGGTACCCCCACACTAGAGATGACAGTGCTTTCATGGCACTCTTCCCACAGCCTCCTTTCCTAATGTGGATCTCCCTCTCAAAAACTGCAACAGGAGAAAGTAATTCTAAAAAGGGAAGGTGCCTTGTGCTGGGTCCACTTGAGATGAATGTGCTATGTGCACACAGGATAATTTCTTTGGCTCTACCCCAGATGGAGAGTTTCACTGTGACTTTTGACAACGTTTTATCAAGGTCTCAAAGTCCCACAAAGTGGCTGTATGAAAAGCCATGGGAAGTGGAGCTCCAAGGACAGAGACTGCTTTTCAAGCTCATATTGCTGCTCCTTGGTATTCAGGTGCTCTGAATGAGCAAACTCCACAGAAAAGATGATATTTGAAGATCTCTTGCTGGAAATCGGTGGCTTTGGCAGATTCCAGATTTTTATTTTGTTTGTCTCCCAAGAATCAACCTTCCCATGCATTTCCTGCTTCACAATTTTCTTGCTGCTACCCCATCTCACCACTGTGTAATTCCACACCAAGAGGCATTTGTGAACCTCACCATGGAGGAAGTTCTGCTCATCAGCATCCCCCAGGAGCCCAATGGCACTTTCAGCTCCTGTGAGATGTTCTCGCAGCCTCAGTTTCACCTGCTGCTCAGTTTCTCTCTGCAACCAGAAAACAATTCCATCATCCAGCACTGCCGGCACTGATGGGTCTATGGTCACTCACAGTTCACCTCCACCATCTCCACCCAGGTAATGCCTGGTCTGTGATCTAGGCAAAAATTAAATTAGCTCAGTGTTTTGAGGAGCAGATGGAGAAGGGTTTGCTGGGTGTACAGAGCCAGAGGGGAATCTTTGTATTCTAACCAGTAGAAAAACCAGCGGGTTTAGAGATTTCCTAGGATGGGGAAGCTCTCTGAAGCTCTAACTTAGAAGCCAACACTTTTTAAAAAATTATTATTATTATTATTATTATTATTATTATTATTATTATTATTATTATTACAAGCATCTTGCTTAGATTGATAGTTAGAAGACAACATTTCTCATTATAAGCATCTTAATTTCACCAGGTTACACAGATTGAAAGAGGGGGATGGGGGGAGACACACATTGATACAGAGAAATGATTACTTGTTTTGAGATTTATTTACTTATTTAAAGCAATTTATAGTATTACATATAGTATTTTTTTTAAATATTGCTAAGAATCCTGCTTGCCCAGACTGTTCTGTGGAATTTTACCAAGGACTACAATGTTCAGCAAAATATTATGCTTTTGTCCTTGAGGAACAGGTGGCTCTAACTAGTTGGAATTTTGCTAATGAGTAAAGATAGCCATATACGAATGGTAGAAGTTCTATTGGTTCTCTTAGATAAGATAAAAAGTAAGCCGTCTGAAAAACACTCTTGTTATTCAAGAAATTGGCCAAGAGAATCTGCGCATGTTCTGGAGAAAAAACCAAAGTGAGAAAGACTACAAGCCTTCCTCCCAAAGACGCCCCTCAGGAGGCAATGCGCAGGGGCAAAGAGAACATCAACTGCTGACACCAGCCTTTCTAACCCAGCCCTACTCATGCATATGTGTGTTTGTGTTACGTAATCCAATGAATATGGATATCCACACTCTGTAAATTTTGGTAAAATGTGCGGTGGGTGTGCAAGCTTTGTGGAGAGATCCCCTTGCACCCTGGCGCCGGAGTAAACATACCTGCTGTATAACTCTGTTTGAGTTGTGGAGTCTTTTTTCTGCGAATCAGTTTGGCACCCCAGATGGGACCCTCTCTGTGCAGCTGCAGGAGAGCCTCCCTCGCTCTGCCAGTCTTCACAGGGACAGACAAGGACCATCCATTGGCTGCGGATCAGGTATGTGGGAGAAAGGGGAGACCTGTAAGTCGTAAGGAGATGTTCTGCGTGAGGTGAAGAGCCGTTGTGCTCCCCCTGGGTTTGGGGTGTGAGTCCCCAAGTAGTGTGGTTGTGTGGTTGTGGGCCCGTGGTGACAGAGTGGTTTTGACACTCCGACCACATTGGTATCCTGGGTCGACTTGGGTACTCCTAGTGTGGTGTTGCGGGAGTGGTGTGCCATTGCTGTGATACCATCAAATGTAAAATCTAGTACTGTTTATAATAATTTAGTCGATATCGATCAGGTTTGGATTTGTGGTAAATGATAAATGGCAAATGGCTCATGGCATATGATTTGTGCTTTTGGCTTTGATTTATGATTTCTATGATTTAGCAATTGTTGTAATTAGTGTTTCAATGTTTGCAATATTTGTCATTTTATGTTGTGTGAGTAATGAGCGCGAGGGGCCTCTGTGTGGTTGTGTGATTGTTTCGCGGGTGTGTGAGGCGCAGCCCAGCTGCAGCTGCGCAGTGCGGAGTTCTCTGACCCACGGGTCCGTTATCTCGCCTGGGAAGCAGCCGGAGAGGAACGGGGCGCAGAGCAGACTCTTACCAGTGTGGGGGGAGTGCAGGACGAGTGAACATTCCTTAGTGCTGAGCCCCAGTGCCCTCCTGCTGAGTCATCGGTGCTGCTGTTTGTTCGCTCAGTGTTCTAAGTGTCACAAGTGAAATAATTCCTCTAGCAGGAGGCAGTAATTCTGTGGTTGTTGTCTTGAATTTAGGTGCGTACTCTGTGGGCAGAGAGCACCTTTGTACCATCTGCCTGAGGGGGATATTGTCAGCTTAATCAGGTAGTGTGTTAAGGTCGAGTAGACGAGATGGGAAGCGGCCAGAGTGGGGGAATAGTTAGAAAGATCAAAAAGAGCCCCCTGGGCTGCATTGTAAAACACTGGAAGGAGATAGGGAGACCTCCAGGCACAAGTGCAAATAAGATGACCTTAATGAAGTATTGCAATCAGTAGTGGCCCCTATATAAATTGGATGAGGGGGAGAAATGGCCCCTTAATGGGACCTTGAATTAGAGCACCCTGCTGCAATTGACGCTGTTTTTAAGGAGGCAAGGAAAGTGGGATGAAGTCTCCTATGCAGACATGTTTTTCACCCTCCGAGACCATCTTGAATATCAGATAGACCGTGGCCTGGCACCCCCACGAGATCCACTAGTGCTGGCTGGAAAGAGAAAATAAGAAGGAAGGGAAAAAAAGAAAGGGGCAGAAATATTTACCAGAGTACTATAAACCACCGGTAGGAAGCTGGGAGGAGGAGGGTGAAAGTTTGGAGGAGCCAGAGCCAGGCTCCCCCCCCACTCACAGCCCCATATCGGAGACAGACGGGAGAAGCGGTGGTGGTGCCGGCTCCTCTGAGAGAGGCCGTAGGGCTGGATGGGGCCCTGTTAGAATAAAAGTCCCCTTCACTTCCTTAGATCTTGAAACTTGGAGAAATACAGCGAAGGGGTACCGAGATGACCCTGTTAAGGTGACTAGGCATTTTCAGTTTCTGATAAAACAACATGATCCGGATGGGAGTGATATACAATTATTATTCAACAGAAACTGAAAAACAATTAATATTAAAAACAGCCCAAGATCTGGCTACC